TAGGGCTGCCATTAGCAAAATACCACAGATGGAGTGGTTTAAACAACAGAAATTTGTTTTCTCAGTTCTGGAGGTTAAAAGTCCAAGATCAAGGTGTCAGCAGGTTTGGTTTCTCCTGAAGCCTCTCTCCTTGGCTTGCAGTTGGCAGCCTTCTCTCTGTGTCTTCCTATGGTTTTTTCCCCTCTGTGCCCCAGTGTCTCTCTGTGTGCCCAGATTTCCTCTTATAAGGCCCCAATTAGATTGGAGTAGGGCCCAACCTAAGGGCCTCATTTTAACTTAATTTAGCCTCCTTCCTTAAAAGCCTTATCTCCAAATATGGTTACATTATGAGGTACTGGGGATTAGGATTTCAACATACGAATTTTGTAAGGGGGACATAATTCAAGTCATAGCACCATCCCTAGTTTATCTATAGCCCTTATTTTAAATGCAATGTACTTTAATTATTTAATTTGTTTATTGCCTCACCTTCTGTTCCACTAAAATATAGGTTCCATAAGGGAGGGATTTTAATCAATTCTGTTCTCTGTAGTGTCTTCAAAACCAAATGAGTAAAATTTTATAATTGTTTACGTTTTTACTCAGGGCCAGCATATGGGCAACCTTAATTTATTCCTAATAACTCCCTATGTTTTCTAGGGCATTCCTTCATTTCTTCATGAGTGAAGAAAGCTCTGATAGTATTCCAGTAATTTATGTATTTTAAAGTTATATTTGAGTTTCTTAGGAAAAAGGATTATAGCACTAAAAGATCTAGCTTTTTACCAACAAAAATAAATGTGAAATGCTTGTTTCCAAAGCAACAAAAAGCTTTACCTGATTAAGTAGACTGAGGGCTCTTCCATATTACAGTGAAATATCCAACCAAATTGCTGAGGACCGGCTTTTGGAAGTAGCGTGCGGGTCAGTGTGGTCTTTGTGAGATTCCGTAATGGTGTACCGTGGCCAGGGCCAGAAAGTGCAGAAAGTGATGGTGCAGCCCATCAACCTCATCTTCAGATACTTACAAAATAGATCCTGGATCCAAGTGTGGCTCTCTGAGCAAGTGAATATGCTGATAGAGGGCTGTATCATTGGATTTGATGAGTATATGAACCTTGTATTAGATGATGCAGAAGAGATTCATTCTAAAACAAAGTCAAGAAAACAACTGGGTTGGATCATGCTAAAAGGAGATAATATTACTCTGCTACAAAGTGTCTCCAACTAGAAACGATCAATGAAGTGAGAAATTGTTGAGATGGCAATACAGTTTTTTCAGGTGTACTTTGTTGGGAGTATAGGTCTAAAACATTTGTTCATATTGTTTTGATTACCCTTATGTTATTTCAAAATGACAATAAATGCTGCAGGATTGTTTTTATTTTAAAAAAAAAATTGCTGAGGACCCCCTCACTAAGAAAAAAATGCTTAGAGCCATCATCACAGAGAAGTTTGCTTATTCAATTATAAACTAATTTGTACCAACCTTTTTTTTCTTTAGGAGGTCAGGCTCAGGATGGACCATGAGCTTTCAAAAAGAAAAAAGCTGGAAATCACCAACTGTGCTGCCAACTGAATAAGTGTTTCTTTGTTGCATAGAGTCAAGGAAAATTACATTCCTGCATTATATAATCTACAACAACCTATTTACCTACTGTTTTAATCTAGGTTATTCTTGAAAGCAGAGCCTGAGACAAAGGTAGATACATTCTGTTTGGGAATCTGATACCAGGGAGCAGGAATGAGAGAGAGGGGAGTGGATATGGGGAAAAGGGAAAGAAAATACAAGCAAGACCAGGTAGAATCCCTGTTAATGGTTACTTAATGCAGAATCTTTCCAAAGATTCTTCTTAAACTTTGTCTTAGATCTATTGGCCTGAATGAGGAACGGGAGAAGCATTTATCTATTAGCAGCCATCTCCAATGTGTTGGGAGCTGCTCTTGTGGGGCATTTAATCCCCTATCTCTCTGCATTGCAAAGTTGTGAAAGCCTCACGGGTATCACAACATTACACATTGCTGCGTCAGAGATGCCTTGGGACAGGAAACTAGACTCTTGGTGCATGCTTGAAGGGAGGCAGTGACAGCACAGAGCAGGGTAAAACCTTCCCAGAACTGTTCACCAGAGCTGTGACTAGAACAGACTGAAAGATGGGAGACAGTACACAAGAGGCATCTTACAAGCCTACATGGTATGCTGTTAGACTTGACTAAATCTATTTCCTTCTTTCTTTCTGTCATCAAAATTTCAGTGTCCAGAATAAGTTTGGAAGAAGGCTTAAATAGGAAGGTTAAATATATTAGAAGGTGTATGTTTGTAACTATTTTAACCTTGAGTCATGTTCAAAGAAAAAATGACATTGGAACTTAGAAAATTAAAAAGTGATTCTACCTGAAAAATTTGACCATTAGGTGGACATGCTAGATGTCTTCTCATGTCATACAATCTCAAATAACGATGAATTGCTTGGAGAAAATGAAGAAATAAAATTAACTATTTCTTGTATCCCTGTGAGTTTTATAAATCAATGTCATTAACTTTTCCTACGATGTTGTTTTCTATTGTCAGATAGCACTAGCATTACAATGCTTATAGCCAATGAAGGGAAAACTGGTAGAAACACAGAAAGAAAAATATTGGAATAATTTCCATCACATAAAGGGTTGGGCATTAATATGATTAGAATATGGGGGATACTGCAAGAATTTGACTTGGCATTCCTCTATGAGGCTCTGGCTTACCAGAAATAGTGAGATCATCATCATCCTCTCTTATATGATGTAGAATTGTCACCAATAGAATAAAACCTTTGAGCTATTCAACTCAGTATGTATTGAGCTCCTGTGTGCTATGTATTGGCACTATAAATATAAATAAGATATAATTATAAAATACTACATTCCAAAACTTAAGAATGCTTGTTTTTTTAAGGTACACCCCAGAACATTTACCAAAACTGACCATAGACTGGATCACAAATCTAGTCTCAACAAATTTCAAAAGATTGAAATCATACAAAGTATGAATTAAGCCAAAAATCAATTACATAAAGGTAACAAAAAATTTCCCAAATGCTTATAATTTAAGGAACATACACCTAATGATTTAGGAGTCAAACAAAAAATCATGGTAGAATTTAAAAAATATTTTGGAATGCTAATGAAACCGTAACATTAAAATTTGTGGGATGGTGTGAAAGTAAATGCTTATGGGAAATTTATATCTCTAAATAGTATATTAGAAGTTTTACAAAACGATTGCCCATCAGTATTTCAAGAAGCTGGGGGACAAAGTTGTTTGGACAACTGGCAGCTGGCAGGGAAGGATTCTTCACTGAGGAAGGGAAATAAGGTGAGCCCTGTCATTGCCCTGCCTGTCTGGGACAAGCCCTCTAGATCACATTGCAGGAGGAGGAGCTTAAGCAGAGCTGTGTTGCTGAGTTCAGGAGACAAAGACTGGAGTTGAGACTGGGATGGCTTGAATTTTCCAGGCAGAGTATCACAAGGAGGAAAGTATGCGGAGAAAAAAAATTCCAGAAATCTATATAAAGATCTCCCCATGCCTGTTGCTGAACACTAAGTTTAACAGTTCTCAAAACTAGCATGAGATTGGGAAATACTTAATTTGCATCCAGCCATAGTGAAGAGTCCTTCACTGAGAACTCCAGACATTCACAAAAGAACCCAGAAAGGTTACATGTTATGTAAGTGGGGCTAAACTAGCCTGACTAAAAGCTATGCTACATTTGCCCTCCCCTCCCCCTATAAAAAGCTTAAAAACAAGCCTCCATAGTACAAAGCTGACCTGTAATTAACTAAACTACCTGCTAGAATAAAGTGTAAATTTGGTAGTTCTGGCCCTCCAAGAAGCACATGCAAAGACAAGCTTAGATTTACAAGAGATTTATTTGGGAGAAAAAAATGCCCTTGAGTGTTGAAATGGAGATGAAGCCAGGGGAGGCAGAGTCTTCAGACTACATCACATGTCTGGCCCTGTGAAGGTGTCATAGTTAATTTTGTGTGTCTGCTTCACTGGATCACAGGATGTCCTGATAGCCAGTTAATTATTCTTTTTGGGTCTGTTTGTGAAGGTGTTTCTGAAAGAGATTAGAATTTGAATTGATGGACTGAAAAGAGCAAATTGTGGTCCCCAATGTTGGTGGGCTTGATCCAGTATGTTGAGGGCCCACATAAAAAAGATGGAGAGGAAGGTTGAACTCTTTCTGCCTGACTGTTGAGCTGGGATTTCCATCTTCTGCCCTTGGACTGGTACTGACACCATCAGTGCTCCTGGTTCTTAGGCCTTTGGACAGCAGATCGTGGGACTTCTCAGCCTCCATACTTGTGTGAGCCCGTTCCATATAATAAATATTCTAGATTGATTGGTGGAGTGATTGATCCTATTGGTTCTGTTCCTCTGAAGAACCCTAATACAGAAGGAGAGAGGATTGAATAGCAAGAGGCTTAGCCTGCAGCACAATTCCAATAAAGGTGAAGGTCAGCTGATG